CCTCTTTAATCATTGGAAACTACTTGAAATTGGATATTCTCTTGTTTTTTCCACTTTATCTTAATTTCATACAACATAGAATTGCATTCATAAGTATTTCAATAAGCAAAAATTTTTTTAAAAAATGCTCTTTTTCAAATATAAGCACACTACTTAAAACCAAATAATTTTACAATAACTTTTTACCCAAGGTCATGCCTCTCCCAGGAAAGCCAACATCTGATGACCAAATAAGAAAGGTTTACAAAAGCCCAGCCATTTTATCCCAGTGCGAGACTCCCTAAAGGGAAATTCTGTCTTCAAAACTCCCCAGTGGGTTAATGGAGACTTTGTTGAACCTGAATCAGTTTTTCCTCTATCCAGTCCTGCTTCTCCCACCTACCCTTCACACTTGTTGATTACTAACAAATATATTTCAGTTCAATTGTTATTTCAGCAGCTGCTTCCAAGGAATCCAACCTATGGCACAAATATTCCATGAATTTGGACCTCAAATTACTTGACTACCTGACCCAATTGCAAGTATAATCTCTCAAAATTATATTCTGCCTATTGTATTTCTGGTGTATATATATGTAAAATTTAGACTATCTTATCTTTATTAACAGTAGCTACACCAAGTTTTTTTTTAACTTAAAAGGAAAAGGAGAGGAAAAAATAAATGAATATATTAATTTTCTATTGCCTCATCATGGGTTCTTTGATAACATATTAATATAGCAGTTTAAATTTTTGGAATAACATCAGAATTGCTGCTTCAAATGGTAAAAGAACTAGAAGGGATTTCTAAATGTATATGAGACTGACTACATTTGGAAAAACTGGTGACATTTTTGCATTTTTTTAAACTAACGGCAAGAATGCAAAGGAACACATATCAATCATAAGTATTGGCCTTTCTGCATGTAAATTGATGTCTATTTGTCTTATTAAATTATTATCAAGTTCAAGTTATTTATAAAATGTTTTTAGACCTTTGATAATGGGTTCAGGTGCTTGAAATGTACCATATTACAACATATTTGTTTAAACCCACAGAGGTATCAACAAAATGAAAAATTTAGGAAACCTAACTTTATACATGATCTATGAGACACATATGACAAAATTTTATTGGGGCACCTGGGTGGCTCAGTCAGTTAAACATCTGCCTTTGGCTCAGGTCATGATCCCAAGATCCTGGGATCAAGCCCCACATCATCGGGCTTCCTGCTCAGCAGGGAGTCTGCTCCTCCTTCTCACAAAGTAAAATCTTTTTAAAAATTGTTTATTTATATGTAAACTAGAATAGAATACACCAAAAAAAGGAAGAAAAGGATTTTGAAATGACTCTACCTTTGATTTTAACAGTCTTTTTTCACCATTTGGAACCCCATCAGCTAGATAATATTTTGGGAAGCTTACAGGTCATTCATGCAGAAAGATACCCACTAGTGCAAAAAAAATTATGCAAATGTTATGTTGAGGTTGGTGACCTGAAGCAAATATACAAATAACAGATATACAGGTACCATATCCTCTCCCTTGATAAAAACTGTGTGATCAGCACCTAACATATTTTAGGTAATGGATGCCATCAACCTAATGGCATTTATCTCTTCTGCTCACCTCATCAGGAGCCCACCTTCCTCACTCACTGCACTTCACAACACTTGCCCAAATCCGTTATCATAAGGAAAAAGAATATCTACATAATTTGAAACAGTATGTTTCACCAGCACCATGGTCAGCACCAGTGCTTACTACTAGGGTCGTGACTGTCTTTCCCACGTATAGAATGCTTTCCATTTCAAGAGTATTGTCAACTTAACAGTGAAAAAGAGTATTTAAGGGCTATGTGCAGGTGAACTCAGAATAGTCTCCACCAGGGAAAGAGAATGGCATATTGGGGGAATGCCAGACAAGAGACTGTCTATTCTGCCCTGACCATTAATGGATTTTTTTTTTTTTTTTTTGAGAGAGAGAGAAAGTGTGTACACATATACAGAGAAGGGGCAGAGGGAGAGGGAAAGAGTCTTAGGCAGGCTCCATGCCCAGCACAGAGGCCTGACCTGGGGTTTAAGTCAGGGCTGGATCTCACAGCCCTGAGATCATGACCTGAGCTGAAACCAAAAGTCGGATGCTTAACCAACTGAGCCACCCAAGGCCCTTAAAGGATCTTTTCATTCACTCACCATGGCCCTGTTACAAGTGTCAACCGTTGTTCCATGTAATTTGGTGTAATTCCTGGCTTCCTTCACCCAGTTTGTCCTTAGTCATGTTCATTAAATCTATTTTCTCACCCTGGAAACAGACTCCATCCCTAAATTTGATTTTCACCTCTGATCCCCTCGGGACTCCCCTTTTATATTCCTATATCAAAGCATTTCTGCCCCCCCTTTTTTTTGGTTCCCTTGAATCCTTTGTTACCTCACATCAGTCAGATAAATGCTCTCACTCTGGACGTTAGCCATTAGCTCAAGGCAGTCTCAACAGTACAAGTTTGACTACAGGAGATATGAATGTGCACCATACCCAAGTTCCCACTTTATAATTCTTCAACCTGGGTGGGAAATACACTTTGTTTAAAATAGTTTAAACACAGCACATCAGTTAAAAAAGTCTGTTACCCTAAATACTTGTTCAGAGTTCTAAATTATTTCATTTTGTAGATTTTTTTTTCCTCTTAGTTGCTGAGCATTATTGGAATAAATAGTAATTTCATTAGAAATACAGATGCCTAGCAAATCTTAGAATTATAACTATCTAGTGAATATTTTTCAGAGGCTATTAAAACTTTCTTAAAATTACATATATGTTTAAGCTTGAGAAAATATTACTTTATTTTTATTCAGTCAGTCAACACCTATTTGGTAGTTCACTGTGTGTAGTAGAGGAAGAACAGAGATGGCATCAGAATTCCTGAGTCAAATTTTATCTTCACCACTTATTATGATAGCCGAAAGAGCCTCAATCTATTCCATATTTGGTATTATTACCCACAAAACAGAAAATGATAATATTTTTCCTGCATACCTCATAAAGCTGGAGTCAAATGTCATCATGTAAATGTGAACTCATTTTGTAAAGTGTAAAACTCTCTCCACAAATTTAAGATTTTAGTAGCATTTTGTGTAACACACTGGAATGGGTGCTGGTTGCCTAGATACCTAGTGTAACAACAGGTCTCCCTGCCACTGTCTAATGTCTTTTCACTACTTCATTTTTGGGTGGGAAATAAAAAAGTACACATGAGAAAGAAATGTAAAATTAAGATACCGTGTAAGTCTTGCCAGAAATATTTGGAAATAAGTGTACTGTGAAACAAGCATTTATCCCACATATAAAAATGCTTTCCCTATTCTAGTTGTCCCTAAAAACACCTGGAGACTTTTTTTTTTTTCCCAAAATATGCTTTCTCCAAACTAAGATTATCTTAATTTAGAAAACCCATAAATCCTGATAAATAAAAAGCAGCTCTGTATGTGCATATGATAGACTTAAGAAGTCAATGAAAAGTATTATATTTGCCTAATTCTGATTTTTCTCTAAGTTAAAAGAAGCATACTATTCTGTTTTAAATAATTTTATCTCAGAATTTCATCAGAACTTAAAAGAAATTTTAGTGCTATTAAAGAAAAAGCTTCTGAAAATCAATGAAAAGCAGTTAATTGTATACTGGAAAAAAAAAAACCTGTCAACTATGCTCCAGAATATTATTATTACAATACTATGAAATTACACCACTAAAAAAGAAAAAAAAAGCCTATTTGGTAAAGGCATATTACATTTAAAAGGCCATTAAATTTTAATGTGTAAAATTAAGTATATAACTCAAGCTTTGAGCAAAGACACATCCAGCCTCTTGCTCAGCAGAGAGCATTATACCATGAAGCACACATTTTTCTTCATATTCTTATAGGATGTAATCTGAAGTAACCTTGCCTCTAACTCTTTACAGTTAATTTTTATAAATGTTTTTAATTATGGAATATGTTTCACTATAGTGAGGATCTGGGAACTTGCCATATGCAGATAGAGTTTTCTCTTACATGAATTTTAAAAGCAGCAGCACACTGACAAATGTTTCACAGTACTGTTAAAATAGTAAAAATGGGAATATAAGCACAGCAAAGGGATATGTAGGATATCATGCTGATGGATTTTGCCCCACGGACACATTTGTTCTGGAAGCAAAGTGGACAGAAAGAACAATATAAAAAGCTCAAGAAATGAATCTTAATAGTACAAATTAGTACTATCATTGGCTTGGCCCCAATCTGAATGTAGAATTTTTACACTCTGCCTAATCTTGGAAACACACTTATATACCATGTTGGATTTTAATGTAGGAAGAATCTACAGGACTAATAAGATTAGTATAGCTAGTATAGCTAGTGAGTCAAGAAGTAGGCTCACGTTTGGTGGTGGTGATGGTGGTAATAGTGGTGATGGTTGTAGTGATGGTGGTGGTGGTGATGGTGGTGGTGGTGGCAGTAGCGGTGATGGGGCTGTGAGGAAGGGGTATCAGTTTCACTCCTTACACCTGGAGTGGAGGCCAGGACAATAATACATTACATACAATTTTCCTGGAGCCTGGATATCAACAATCACAAGAAAAAAACAAAAATCTAGAGATCCTCCCACTAGTGCTGCTCACAGCTCCATTTTCCTTCCCATTTACCTCAATCTGAATGAAAACTGAACTACTCTTATAATTATCCCACCCCTAAACTTCAGATACAAGGAGGGATTTTAATGAAATCTAAATAAAATCTAGTTGAACAGTGAAAGGATCAAAGTGCATTCTCATTGTTCAGGTGAGAAAAAAGAAACTCTCATTCAGAATGTTTATTTCCTGCATTTTGCATATATTAGATAGGATGCTATCAGCGTTAACAAAATATTTGTATTACTTATGTATAAAAATGAAATTTATTTTATATATTGTTGTTATATCCACAGTTACTAAAGTTTCCCATTTATCTTAATAATTTATTTATTGATGCTTTGCTCTTCTATTTTTTTTTTTTTTGGAACAAGAACCAAGTTTATTTGTTCATTTCTTGCACGTGAAGTATTCCTCGATGACATCCTTCGCCTGAGACTCTGCCATAGTCCTTAACCACCACACAACTGCAACCAACCACTTTACGGGGTTTTCCCTCTCTGTCAATTTTACAGAGGCCTACCCACCTACCCATTCCCCTAGTTTCTTGTTGTCATCAACCTTGATTAGGTTGATTTGGTGTTCAGCACAAAGGGCCTCCACCAACTTGACATACATAGGCTCATCACAGTTGGATGCAAACACACAAAGATGGGCCTGGCCCTTGTCTAAGGCTTTGGCAGCTTCGCGAATTCCACGTGCTAGGCCATCGTGGATGAGGGCGGTCTTCAGCACCTCTTGTAAAGCAGTATTGATGTCCATTACACCTCCAGCAGCAATACCTTCCTCGGCCATGGCGGTGGATTACGAGTGTAGCCGAATCTTGACTGCACGCGACCTTCTGCCTCCCCGTGACTCGGCGGCGGCGGGAAAGAGTTGCTCTTCTATTTAAGTAATCGTATCATCTACAAATAATGACAGTGTCTCTCCATTTCCAATCCTCACAGTTTCTATTAGTCTTACAATACTGGCTAAGATCTCCTGAACAATGTTGAAAAGAAATTGTGACAATAGACATTTTGCCTTATGATTAAAGAGAATGTTAAAATGATTTAAGAATAATTGTTCTAAGTTTTTGTTAGACATTCTTTATATAGGTAAAAAAAAAAAAAGTCTCCTTTGTAGTTTGCCAAAATCTTTTATAGTGAATGACTATATTTGCTCATCTACTGAGATGATATGCTAATATAAATGACATTAAATGATTTTGTAATATCAAACTGCCATTCCACTGTTGGAATAAACCAAAACCAACTTAGATGTATTTATCCTTTGATATACTCTAGATACAGTTTGCTAATATTTTTAAATTTTTTTTTCATTCCTGGTGAGATTAGACTAAAATTTCCACCCTCTTTTATTTTTTCTAACCACTGTTTTCTAACCACTGTTAGGTGATAATAGTACCTAAGAATAATTTTTAGAATTTTACTCTTCTTCTATAATTCAGAAATTTTACATAAGACTGAAATTGCTTGCTCTTCAAAAATTTGATAAAATATGGATCTGGTGGTTTCTTCGGGCTAAGGATTTAAATAGAAATTCAATTTATCTAATGTTTACAGAACTATCTAGACATTCTTCTTGACCTTTAGTCAGCTTTGTTAAACTATATTTTCTTCAGAATTTTTCCAGTTATTCAAAGTTTTAGTATTTATTCTATATAGCTATTTATGATATTCCTCTCACTCTATTGCTGCTGTATCTGTAGTTTGACTCCTTTAAAGACCCTAATGTATTGCTTATTTTTGTTTTCATCTCTTTCCAGATCAGTCTTATTAGAGATTTGTCTATTTTACCAGGTTCTATAGAGAAATAATTTCTTTTCTTCCTAGGTCTACTCTTCCTATTTTATTTTCTATTTTATTAATTCCTGCTCTTAAGTTTTACATAACCTTACTTCTAATTGTTCTGTGCTCATTTCCTTACACTTTTCTAACTTCTTTACTCAAACTATCTTTTTAAACATACAACTTAACATTTGAGAATTTAGGCCTTGAACTTTCACCCCACAAATTACAACAGGTAGTATTTAAATTACTAGTAAATTCCAATAATTTTTATGTTCTATTGTTAAAATTTCTTGGCCTATCAATTATTTAGGGGTGTGTTCTTTAACAAATGTATTACTTTTACTTATGTTATCAAGTTCTAATATAAATGCATTTGATTGGAGAACTGGTGTGATCAGATCTGCATTTGAATTTTGTTGAAAATCACTTTATTATCGAGTTATTGGACAATTTGTTAAAGGTTTCAGTTACACAGTATAATAATATGTGTTTTAATTGTGGGTTTGATTAAGGCTAACTTATTGTTGTATTGCTCAATAATTGTTGAGTGTTTGTCCTCTCAATAATCGACAAATGTGGAACTCTCCTCCTGTATGGTGAATTTCTTTTCCTTCCTATAGTCTTATAAAATTCTGCACATCTGCTTTTGAAGATATGCTATTAGGTACATACAATTTTAGAATTGCTACATCTTTCTGGAAAATTAAAACTTTCATCATTTTGTAGTGTAAATGACTTTTGTTTTTTAGAAATGACTTTTTGGCATTTATTTTGTCTGATTAAAATAGCTCTTTTGTGTTTAGACAGTATTTGCCTGCTACATATATTTTCATTCTTTTCTTTATATCTTTTCATATTCTTGTATATTAAATGTCTCTTGCAAACAACTTATAAAATTAGAATGTGTTTTATCACAATTAACATATACATACAAACACAAAAATAAAACCACCTGAATTTAATAAAAAACTTGAAAAACTTTGATTAAAAATTATTAAAAGTCAACAAGCCTAGGAATATATCTCCTAGAATAGCCAAGAAAATACTGGAAAATACAGTAGTCCCCCTTTATCTGAGGAAGAAAAATTCCAAGATGCCCCGTGGATGTCTGAAACTGCAGATAGTACCAAAGCCTATATATATACTATGTTTTTCCTATACATACATACCCATGATAAATTTATTTTATATATTTATTTTATATATATAAATTTAATTTATAAATTAGGTACAGTAAGACATTAACAATAAGTAATAGAACAATTATAACACTGTACCATAATAAAAGTTATGTGAATGTGACCTTGCTCAAAATATCTTATTGTACTGTATTCACCTTTCTTGCGATGATATGAGATGATAAAATGCCTATATGATGAACTGACATGAGGTGAATGACCTAGGCTCTGTGACATAGCATTAGGCTACTATCGACCTTCTGACAGTACGTCAGGATGAGAGTCATCTGCTTCCTTGGTTGACTGCCCATAACTGAAACCACAGAAAGCAAAACTGCATATGAGGGGGGACTGCTGTAATAACAGCAAGGATTTGAAAATCCAGGCTTTAAAGCATAGCATGAAGATAAAATAATTTAAATAGTTTAGTATCCCCACCAGAATAAACAACAAAATTAACTCAAGAAAACAGAAAAATCCAAAAAAGTATATCCACAATATCTAAACAAGTATAAAAATTTGATATGTGATTGAAGTGAAGTGTTAAGCCTTTTTGAAAATGTTACTAAATAGAATTTTATGCTATAAATTGTATAATTAGGATATTATAAACAAGAGTTGGAATAAACTAATAGAAATAATTGGTTAAATAATTGGGTAAGAAACACACAACTTGATATGTACTTTTTCTCATGCTATATTCTCAAAGAGATAAAAGTGCCAAAAGTAATAATTAAGAAAATAATATAAGTAGAAGAAAATAAGTATTTTCTAAGTGTAACAATGGAAGCAGACAATCAGAAAGGAAACTCATGTAAATTATCAGGGTTGTCTGAGAGCTACACCCATAATATATTCTTTTAACATACTGTGGCCCCTATCACAAGTAAACACAGAGCAAGCAGTAACACTGAATTTAACTAACAAAAACTGTAACTCCAAATAGGTGGAGAGAATAGGTGTGAATTAGGAAGTAATACACATATGAATGATATTGTCAAAGCTAACATCATAATAATAGTTTTTATAAATCAATGAAAATATCAATGATTATCAATGGAAAATTGTATGTTCCTTTATTTCCTATCTGTGTGTGAATTTAGATAAGTTACTAAACTTTATTTATTTAAATATTAACAAATATTTATAAAGAACCTACCAATTGTAAGATGCTGTCAGATACAAGATGTAATATAATAAGAGAGTTCCAGCTCTTATGATACTTACATTAGATTGGATCCTTATGTTCCCAACCTGCATAATATCTCATAGTGTTAAAGTAGATAATATTTGGAGTGCTTATTATTATTAAGTTTGTAAGGAATAGTTCCTTAAATATAAGCTTAGATAGAAGAAAAGATTACTTGAGCAAAGAATGCGTGAAGCATTGCCATCCCACACATTTCCCTTTTCTTCTTATACTAGGAATGAACAAAGGGATACCATTCAGACTGCACCATAGAAATTTCCTACAGTCTTTGGTCTTCTGCCATAATGATGAAGAGCTAGAGAGAAATAATGCTATTTTATTCTCTCTACATATTATAATGCTTCAAAATTAATGTGAAATTAACCACTTTTTAAGATACCATTATTTTCCACTACTTCTCAACATGTGTCCTTCACTGCAGCAAAGACCACCTTATATCTGACAAGCTTATCATACTCCCACAATGCTTTTGATTCTGGTTTCCTCACTGAACTATATAGACTTCTTTTTATTGAAGTATAGTTGACACACAATGTTACATTAGTTTTAGGTGTACAACATAGTAAAGCCACAACTATGTGTTCTGCTGTGCTCATCACAAGTGTAGCTACTAACTGTCACCACAGAATGATATTATAATACCATTGACTATATTCTCTATCTTGTACCTTTCATCTCTGTTACCTATTCATTCCATAACTAGAAGCCTGTATCTCCCACTCCCCTTCCCCAGTTTTGTCCATCCCCCACTCTCCTCCCCTCTGGCAACCACCAATTTGTTCTCTATATTTATGGGTCTGTATCTGCTTTGTTTTTTTGTTTTTTTTAAATTTCACATATAAGTGCAATCATATGGTACTTCTCTTTCTCTATCTGACTTACTTCACTTAGTATAATACCCATTCATGTTATCACAAATGTCAAGATCTCATTCTTTTTATGGCTGAGGAATATTCCACTGTGTGTATGTGTGTGTGGGTATATATATACCACATCTTCATCCATTCATTTATCATTGAACACTTAGGTCCATATCTTGGCTACTGTAAAGAATGCTGCAATAAACATAGGAGCATATATATCTTCTCAAAGTGTTTGTTTTCTATGGGTAAATACCTGGGAATGTAAGTTGGTGGAAATATGGAGGTTCCTCACAAAATTAAAAATAGAAATACGATATAAGTCATACTGGCTTTTTATACTCAAATATAGTCAACATTTAAGCTCAGTAGAAAGTAACTCTATAATTAACTCTTTCTAAAAACAGGGCAGAAACACGTTCTCTGGGGTGTTTCTCATACCACCTTTTATCCCTAAACTTGGGAGTAGTTCATTGGCTAAGGATGTGGTAATCCCCTTTGGCCAGCTGGTCTCCATTGGAAGGAGCCAGGAGGGACTACCACTGCTCTTTGAGCTTTGGTAAGGATTGTCTTTCTCCAGCTTCCTCATCTTCAAGAGCTAAAGACAAGAGAAAGCCACAGAGATCTTAATGCTACATTTAAGACCAATTTACTTCTCCCAACCTCTTTATCACCATCACTAGGTCAGGCCTCCAGAACTCAGTGTAATTTGACAACTGCCTCATCTTACCCTCTTAATCAGCTCTCAAACTTCTTCAGTTTCTGCCTTGAAACCATCAGGACAAATCTCATTGTGAAATTCATCCCTAAATATATCATTACTAC